CTACTACTACTACTACTACTACTACTACTGACAAAATGAAAACCAAATGAGATGTGGAGACCAACTACCTCCAATCGAAAACTACTACTACTACTACTACTACTACTACTACTACTACTACTACAATATCCCTTTTTTAAATAATTATATTAAAAGTATTCTTGATATTGCTACCTCTATTGTTTACACGACAGTCCTCCTTCCCCTTTCAGAAGACATGTATGGTAGGCGTCCTAGCTTGCAGATACTTAGATGAAGTGTTATATTATCGACCAACTAAAGTCGCTACATGGACAGTTTTCACCCTGCGTCTGTCGACTTGTGTGTGGAGAGTTTAAGCTCACAGTCTCGTGTTTTCATTCACTACACTGGAAGTAGCAGGGACAGTTTGGCGATTAATAATTCACCGATAACAGAGGTGTGACCTGAGTTATAAAAAAACGTGCCTCTTAACGTATTTGCCAGTTGCAATTCCTAGCAGCCAATTTCCTGCACTACATTTCGCTTGACGTTAACACCGTTATTAGGCTGGGAAACAAAGGGACCGTCGCAGCCATCTCTAGTCTGTTTCACGGTCAATTACAAGCGATAAAAGAACATTTTAATTGATATAATACATTAATATTCCAGGAAAAATGTCTTTCCTCCTTGCGCAGTGACATATCATGCACACTGTCTCCCGATAAGCATCCAATAGCGGAAATGAAAGTTCATAGCAACGATGCTAAGGCTATCTAACGCGCACTCTATCGTAACGCTGCGAAATAAGCCTGCTAGAAGACAGGATGTGTCTTCCTTAGTTAACCTATCCTCCTGTCCCCCGCCCCGAACGCTAGTCCCGGTGATTGAAGTTCCTGGGCACCCCTTTCTGCCACTTCATCTTTTCCCCATCCTAACACACATGAATGTCGGGAAAGCGCTTGATCTCAGAGAATCAAATTAATGCATCTGTAGAATGGCGCTGCAATGGGCAAGGAACGGTCTGGCAAATCTCCTTCCAGGCTTCGCTATTGTTGATAATATTGACCAGCGTTCTGATAAGAGCCTTATTAAATATGACCCCGACATTTGTAACATAAGTCATTCTCTCAGCTCGAGCCCGCTGATACTGAAGTCAGGGGTCCCCCATTTGAATAGAATCCCGCAAATTAGCCCATTTTCGATGTTTCTGCCTCAGCAAAGACGCTTCCCATATGGCGAACCCTTTCCCCCGAGAAGACATCGCACTGATGTGTTGGCTCTGTCAGACAATTTGATACATGCTTCGTATTTTACGTCCAAATTTCGTGAATCATACCGAAATGACTGTATATTATGAGAATAATTTAATCTTTTGAAGATTGATTATTTGTCTGGTATTATACGTGTTTGAGCACCATATGCTTAAAGTTGTAACATAACCGTCCCGTATGTGTTGGACAACCTCTGATGATTTATGTTAACAGTTTTTGCATTTACGTTGAAAAGCGTAATAGTGTGTGTGTAGAATGTATTCCTGTTTCAAGTGGTTAATGTGCAACAAGGGACCAATTTGTCTGCGACTCCGCGGGGGTGGGGTTGAATCCCCGGGGGTGGAGCAAATGTTGTGTCAGCTATCTCATACCCTGCTGCGAGTCAATTGATTTGTTGATAAGATCACACTCCTTGAAGTAACAAATCTGCTTGTTATACCATCCCCTGATTGTCTTGTATATATCACGACGAGTTTGCCCCCCCTGCGTTTACCAGCCGCCATTGTGCAATCCCTCTGCGGGGTACCCCCCAACTTTACACGTAATGTAATACCCAAACCTGCTACTTACACGTCTTCACCTGTTTACGCTAATCACGACACGAGAACACTTAACCAGCAGATGGATGCCAGTAATTAGAGCGTTTAACTGACCCCCATCCCCTCGCTGACCACCCGGTCCATCCCTAGGGGGCGAGCGTTACTCAATTCTTTAACAATGGTGTCTTTGATTCCGTCACACTGGGAGCAAGGATTTCCTGATGCAAATCCGGCACCAACCTGGCCAATACGTCCGAGTTAGATAAATTCTCTTTAAATGTATTATTTAGAGCCAATTTGTTTGCGACACTGCCTAAAACCATCGATAAACAACTGTGAATTCTTAATTACATTACGTCGTTTAGCTGAGTGGGTCTATAATTAAAGACAAAGTGACACTTATCTGGAGTTGATCTCTCTTTCAGTGTGATTTGGATTCTTATCATGTTAATTACTCGAAGATTTGAAACGTTTTTAATTCAATTTTCTGTAGTTAGTTTATGCACAGGTGTTTCAGTTTTGAATTCAAAGGTCTCCTCTGGTAATTAAACGATTTTGCAAACAAAATGTGTACGCGTTCTTTGAAATCTAAACAAACATTCGTGTTTAGTGGATGGGAAAGCCTTTTAGTCATGCCCGGATGTAAGGCATCATTAGTCGGTCAGACTGCGGACAAACCGGAGTTTTCACGCCGCTCTTCTTTCCACAAACAAATTAATAGGTGACTAAAAGCTTTATACGCACGTTTCACTGGTCTGGGTAAATACGCAGATTTGATGTGAGGTTTGAAAAACATATCTAAAATATTCAAAGCGTTCTAAAACCTTTCTTTTCAGAATTAAATAATTTGTAAAAAAAAAATCAAAATTCAATAAATGCAATCTCCATATAAAACAACAAAGAAAGTAATTAATTTTGTTATTCATTATGTATTTCTTCGTCCTTAATGACAGAAATAGGACTTGTCTTTCTCTGACAATATTTCTCATTGTTAACGTTCATATTTTATGCTTATTGAAATCAGTGCGTCGCCAAAGTGGAACTTATACAGTGTAAAGCGCAACAATAGGACCACGGTGTGTGAATGTACGGGTAATCCTCAGGAGATTGACAACAACAATTAGGTGTAAACAAGCCTCCTGCAACACTCCACCTTGCAGCTTGTATATATATATTTGTTGATTAACCATTGTAATTAACAACCAGGGGACTGTCCCCCGAGGCTCGTGAACAGCCGTGAATTATTCATGGCCTTGTACGATGAACGTTAAAGAGCGGTACTGTGTACACGAAATTCAAATGCAAATATGTGTAAGGAATCTTGCCATAAAGGAATTAATCTTAGATGCTTTTAGAAATGGAACACAATCTGTAAAAATACAAAAACGGCGATACAAGCAGAATAATTAAAAATAGTTTCATTGTGTTAAAATTGAGATAAACAGTATTGTAATGCTATATACCATACTCATAATTATAATCACCGACTAAGACGCGTAAGAAGTGACAATTATCATGAACGTGGAAAAAAAAATTCAAGTGTAATGAGAGACGCGTCTCTTCCTTATTTATAGTAAACCAGTAAACTTTTTCTGCACACCAAACAGTTTTCTGTATTGTTGTTATTCAGTTTTAAAAAACATAAACATCAAATCATAAAGAAAATATTATTTTGATACATTCTTGGCCATGACAATGTTTACTGTTACATTTTACCGTTAAATATGACGTAGTCTATTGTATGCGAAGGGTGTGTTGATGGTGCTGACTGCTGACTCGTTGTTTGATGGGGGATGACAGCTACCACAACCTGCACAACTTCCACGTGTAATCAAATCCATCTAATGTGGAAATAACAAACTGCTTAGGGCATTGGGGATTTGAATATGTGGAAAAAATGGCAACTTGTGCAGCGAATTCCCCTGTGCCTTGGGACCGCTAAACGGTTGTCGGATGATGTTGTGTTGGTTAGGCAACAAGTTACACCGTGTTTCGTGACTGTGTGTTTACATTACCTACACCGCGCATATATAGCATGTAGACATGCCATATTTACGACAATGCCATCCTTGAGTCTACAGTTCATAATGAAGAAACTAAACCAGGCCATATTGAGGGGTTTGACACTCTATACCTTAATAGCATCAGCTTTGAAACACGACCCATTCCACAACCAAGACTCATTGCAAATCCTTGTAACATTTAAAAAACCTTTCAGTGTCGATGGGGCGGATTTATATCAAGCAGGATTGGTGGTTGAATTTGATGGCAATCACTAGCGGTAGCCTTGTGTTGATGGTGCCCGTAATGCGCAGATCAAAGCCGATTCGCTTCTTCATTAAATATTTACGATGATTTTTCATCAATTAATCATATCTCATCAAAATTGCGAACCCTTTGGCGCGTACCGACAAACACTGGACTACAATCGCTGCTCTAATGACAGAGTGGCTACTAGGATACATTATCCATCAATCCAATCCGAAACGCATGGCTACTCTCGTGTCGATGGCCAAGGGAACTTTATCTTGAAAAAACCCTCCGCCACGAGTTGATGTGTTTACTCTATGTGAAATAGTTACTCCGTTGATTACATGTTAACCCGAATGATGGTTTCACCTCGGTGTCTCCTGCAGTGAAATCCGATCCTTTATTAATCCTTCGTTAAGCCCCCATAAACCAAGACCAGCTTATGCCATTTAGTATTTAAAACAGGATCACCTTTCAAATATGCAAATTTGCCACTTTTATCCAAGGGTGAATTCAATCCAAGTAAACATTTGCACAATGTAAATCTCAAGTTTGGAGTGTAAAACCCCCTTCATTTCCCATCCCCCTGACACCAATGCTGTGACGGCACGCCGTTGTCTGTCGCTATAATAGAGCAGTGATCAATTTGCTTGTGTCGCTCTCAAGAGACAAGTTAGAATATTTTCCCAAACAAAAGCATCCGAGGCAGTATATAGCTTCAGTCGCATCGTATCTCCTGCCACGGGGTGAATGGAACACGCTCTCATCCGTCTGGAACAAAACTTGACTTTTTGAGACGAATTCTTATTGGTACAAATTTGTAAAGTTATATTTCTTGATAAAGGATATATATTTCTTCGCGGGATGTCGTTCCAGTTTTGGGTAGGTTACCATACGGAAGAGCATCTTGTTACTTCAATATTATATACACGGGTGTCTGTTATCAAACAATTTCAAATTTGATTTCTTTTATTTTCAGATTTTTCTTGAAGTTTTTCATGAAGTGCAACCAGAACTGTCTGAAGAACGCTGGAAACCCACGCGACATGAGACGATTCCAGGTAAGCCAAAATGTTTAATTTCTAATAAAAAATCTCCGCTTCTTTTACATTTACATTTTATATAATGCATACCGTCATTCATTGTGTAACCATGGTTACGATGTTTTACTAACGCAGTGACAGCATTTGTGACTCTTTAGTGACGTAGTCATGGTAACGATTCACATAGTGATTTAGAATGACGTCACTATATTTTCGGAAGGAAGCAACTGGCATGAGGTACCAAACATATATATATGTTATGTGCATTGCTTGGCGAACATAATGTTGGAGTGAATGCGCGATCTGTTATTCACCTCTGCTTTGCACAACTGAATACTGTTGTTTATTTCAACAAGGGCTGGTAGACCAAATCAATATTTCGGTCACAATCCACAAAATTAAATTTATATTCTATTTCACAGATCTTAAGTTTGTTCGCGAGAACATTAGTTGATATTTGTATTGGTGGAGGGAACATTTGAGTGACGTCAGCAGTGTATAAACCATTACGCGATTGCTTTCCAAATCACGTAGATCCAAATTAAATTCAGGAAATACATTTGACAGTTGGATGAAATCAGTACGTTTCGTTTACACACTCTGCATTGTTTGCAAACATTAAGTAGAAGCATACATAGTTGAAACATGACCAGCTAGAAAAAAGGAAACCCGGTGGCTGGACGGACGTATAAAATATTCATTGTCTAGCGAATACGCGATAGTTTATAACTGTCGAACCAGGCATTGAAGGGCAATAGCTTCATTATAGCGCTTCGTGATTAACTCCCTTTATTGTTGCTGGAAGGAAATGGCGTTTGGGAGGGTTATAGCCTTGTAATTTATATTTGTGCAACTTGTGTTGGGGACACGCTCGTAATTTTCCGATCATTGACAACACACAATAGTCAAGCGAGTTTGTTTGGCCATGGTAACTGTTAACATCCAGATTCTAATGCCGCACCGGGAAAAAAAAGGAATTGGCTGAAACCAATTGGTTCGTGAGTCAAGGCGTCCATGTTTGTAAAGTTTATAAAGCAAGGCGTAATGTGCGGGGATCGATTATCTGAGGGAATCTGCTTTGCAATAATCATCCCTTCATTGTCAATTGAGTTCAGCTCATCTATAGCATGGAACAAATCCACAGTGTTTTAGATCTAGTCCCGTTTTTAACAAACACTATCATCCTGTCAATCACTTGATGTTTACGGGGTTGCTGTGGAAATGAAAGTGCAGGGACCTAGGAGAGTGGTATTAAATGGGGGACGTGAACCGCTGTAAAAACTTCATTAACTAAAACACTTCGAAAATGAGGACGAGCCCGACTGGGCAAAGCTTGACTGAACAGACTGAATCAGGATTTAAACATCTTGACGCGGCTTAAAACAACGCATCGGATGTTTAGGTCCGGGTCGATAGATTTGAACTCAGACAACATGACGCAGCAAACAACTTAAACAAAATATTCTGCCTTTGTTCACAGAATTAAATTTGCTTTAACACGCCATTATGGGAAAGTTTTATGAACATTGTTTGAAAACCATTACAGGAATTAGTTCAATTTTGGTATGGTGAATGCCCATTTAGCATTTGATACAAGTCCGTTGTTAATTCGTGATGATATCATTTTACGTCGCTTATTTGATATTATTACAACACCAGAATTTGTGTAACTGTTATAATTATTAGAGCTGTTATGAATACCACTAGTTCTATCATAACTAGTAGGAATAGCAGTAGTAGTAGCAGCAGCAGTAGTAGTAGCAACAGCAACAGCAGTAGTAGTTGTTGCAGAACTAGTAGTAGGAAGTAGTTTTAACAGCAACATCATCAGTAGTAGTAGAATTAGTAGGTAGTAGTAGCAACAACATCAGTAGTAGTAGTAGTAGTAGCAACAGCAACAACATTAGTAGTAGTAGTAGTAGTAGTAGGAAGTAGTAGCAACAGCAGCAGCAGTAGTAGTTGTAATAGTAGTGGGAAGTAGTAGCAACAGCATCAGTAGTAGTAGTAGTAGTAGTAGTAGCAACAGCAGCAGCAGTAGTAGTTGTAATAGTAGTGGTAGTAGTAGTAGGAGGAGGAAGTAGTAGCAACAGCAACGGCAGTAGTAGCAGTAGTAGTAGTAGTAGGAAGTAGTAGCAACAGCAGCAGTATCTGTATCAGTAGTAGTAGTAGTAGTAGTATACTGCTGACAGTTGTAGTAGTTGGAATTACAGTAGACGTAGTTGTATGGATAGAATGCGTAGTACAGGTCGTTGTAGAATTAGTTGTATCCGTACTAGTGTCAAGGCGCTACGTAGCAACGTATTCGTGCATACGGCTGGGATGCTATTGCCCTCACAACTATTGCTACTTATATAAACAAATCTTGTCATATAGCGTGTCCATATCTGTATACACGAATTTCTTTATTTTCAGGTGTCTGTTTGTACAAATGTTGCGATAGATGGCCCACTGTTAGCTGTGTCAGATAATATGTTTGTACACAATAACTCCAAACACGGACGGAGGGCTCGGCGTTTGGACCCGACTGAAGGGGGTAAGACGATAACATGTATACATAATTTCATTCATTCTATTACAAGGTTATTCAAATAAAAATTAAACTTTGCCAGATGTTAATTTTCAAATTGTATTCATTTATTAAGTAATTTCTATTTAACGGGTGTGTGGGATTACTGTTTGTTTGACATCAAATACTTAAAGTAAACACAAATAGAACATGTTAATCGATATGTGTTGGTACCGATGTGATAAACGGGAGACATTTAAAGAAAGCATTTAAATTTATGAATCTGTTATATCACCTGGAAACAAATGTACGCTTTCATTCACATTTTCTAATATCACTTTAAGTCAATAAATGAAAGTTAATCCTGTAAAGTAAAAATATAATCATGCTTCATAATTCTTAAACAAGTTCACAAACTCGGATTTATGAGTGGAAAACCAATTAACATTAAACAGTCTGTTCATGCTCAATTACTATGCATTTATCGAGCATTATAACACAAAAAATCCCAATAGATGTCATTCAAATTCCTATTAAGAAATCAAAATGTAGTTCCGCTGCATAGGCTTACAAGCTTGGCGGAAGAGGTGTTGACTAAAGGCTGATTGCAACTCCCACCTGACCAATTACAACCCCGGAAATCAATACGCCGCAACAAAGTAGTCCGGCACCTTGCACGGCTAATTTCCTTGGTATGGGGTATTACAGTAGGGAATCTAGATCCAATAAACTAATGAGGTATTCGTAATCAGTCACCTGTTAGGGCTCGCTCTTCTGTCTACAAGTAGTCATACATATATTTAAATGGCGGCAAGGCAGACAGATCCATAACCTTCACACCTATGCCACTGTTTCGTACAAAATATAGGGAGTAAATTCTTCACCTCTGTTGAAAAGGGACCGTTTGTGAGGAATATATCTGGATTATTTGTCACGACGGTGGTTTATAATTGATTTTGATTGATATTGGCAAGGCTCACCTTGCATACTAAGTATTATATTATTCAACAAGATATCGGTCGTGCTAATGATAATGGGTTTTTTCGCGTCTGGAAATACTGCTACTTCCACTTCAAGGCAAGGAAGTACAAAGAAGAAGCTTTTCCCTGTTGAAATTTGTTAACAATGCAGCACAAAATAGAAATAAAGCCAATGGTAATCTTACTTTTCCATCTAAGAATATCGAGCCGTGAAATCAGTTGCTTTGCATTTTGTCCCTCGATTTGAAATTAAAATCATTATTAGGAACTTAAAGCACTGATTATGGAAACTTAATTTATTCTTACGTCATTTTAAATAACATCTCCAGCGCTTGCGATGCATAAAGGGGCATTAATATCACTAAAACTTTAATTTATCATTATACCGTTGGGTGAGCAAAATGGGGTGAAAAATAATATCAAGAACCGTTAAGATGGCGGGTCATCGCTCCATGGGCCTTTTCCAATCGTTTGAGGAACATTAAGGGATTTTATCTAACGTGCAACTATATCGGAGGGAGTTAAAGGACTTAACGCCGAACGTGCACATGATGTAACGGCTATGTGTAGTAGAATTTAAAGGGAATAATTTCATTTCGTCAGCAATTATTACTGCCCCGGAGATTCTTCTAGATGCGCTCATATTACAGTTTACAATTACAAGCGTATCGAAGATTACCGCTTTAATTAGAATGACAATAACACGTGATTCAGCCGAGACTGGGCTCCAGCTGTCCAAAATCAGATTCTAGCGTCCCATCTGCTTCTGGTTTCCTTGCGCATCTGGGGTCTGGGACGGTGACTACACGTCGCTGACGCACGCGACATCAGACAGGGACCTTGGCACAGGGACTACGTTATTGAAAGGAAGGGGTATACCAGGTAGCATGGACAATCCTTCTGATTACATCAACACTCCAGGAAATCGAATTGACAAAAACGTAGCAAACGGGGCTAACCGTTTTTGAAAAAAAAATGAATAGCGGAATCGATTATAATTGCATAGAGGTTTTTGACACAAAAATACTGTTTGACACTTATTGTTTAAATGAGCCTCGGGAATTTCCCTTCTGTTCATCCACATTCGAACACTTTGTGGGTATACTTACAAAAGGTCAAGGTCAGTGCTCAGACGAGATTGACAGCAAACGACAAGTCTCATGACTGGGAGATTGCCGGGAAATGTCGCATGCTCGTCTCAGACTCTGCTTCAGTCTCCTCTGCTCGCCTGTGAAGAGCGGGGCTAAGTTTTCATTAAATTTGCAACTATCTAATTAGCCAGTCCGAGTCGGCCATCTGGCCGAGTATTTTCACCTTGTCCTTTACTTCCGACATTTTTTCTGGTAGTTCCTGTTATTTTAAATGTGCCTTGTTGTTGGAAGAAAAAATGCAGCGTCTAAATGAATACCGTTTGTTAAGTTTCCAACTGACGCCTGGAAATTGGCGCAAATGAAAGTAAGATCAGAAGAAGTGCTTCGGTCGTGAGAGGAAACAGGTTACAACTGCCATGACGTCATTTGATTAACAAATTTTGTTAACAGTCGCCGACAACCATGTTTTTAAAATATCTTATCGCGGCTGTATTTTTTCAAACACAATTAAAGTTCACTTATCACAAGTTGATTGATCTAGTGGCCCAGAAAACAAGTTCTGTTGCCTTTGGTGGGAGACCCCCCTGTATGGAGAATATTTGCACTTATGCGATTTTCAGCAAAACTGCTTTTGATTTCGAACCTCAATCCCCGGAGATGCGCAGGTCTTTGTGTTCCATTGTAACCACACCGCCACATTCCATTCGAATATAAACCGTGCTAACAACAAAATACCCCGGCATGGTGTCTTATAACAGCCCCGCACGGAATGTGAATCCCTTATTCACCAATAGAGATACTTCCCGTGTATTCTCTGCGGGCCTACCGTCGGTTTCTCCGTGTGTGTACAAACAACCAATGGAATAGCTCATAGACCAAAAACATAAGCGTGCTTGTCTTCTCCCACGTCCGCGCGTTGAGTCTACTTGGTGTGTTAAAAATGTTGGCAACATATTGAATTACAATTACATTTTCTGACTTATGTTTGGATTCATTCGCATGAAATTAATATGTCAGTAGGAACAAAATTGACAAAAGATTAGTAATTTGTCGCACGTGCACTTTACCCCCATCGGCGTTGCGTGCCTCTCTGCGTGGGGTCCAGGGGGACACAAAGTGGTGTTCGTTCTTTGATGGTTCATCCCAAGCATCATTGCTGGAATTATTTCATACAGAGCCGAGTACAGTCTCACCGTTATCAAAAGCTGTTTCATAATTGTTAGAGCTCGTTTGTCGCGCCAGTGTTTAAACCGATTCACACCATCTCCCTAAGTCGGTGGGTCACACAAGTGCGTTTGATTCCTCGCGGATAAGTACACAATTAATGAATGAGTATAAAAGCCTGACAGTCGACCACAATATTAATTACTCGCCATTAGCATCGTGACCGAAACTGAACGACACAATGATAATTGCTGGAACAAATAAGTCAGTTTACCGTTTTTTAAACAAAGAAAAAACAAGCGATATAGGTTACTAAATCAATAATTTCAATATCCCCAATGATTAAAGGCTATTTCTAATTAACCTGAAAATACTGAATGGTTGGAACTAATATGGCAACAATATCATACCATGTTTGATTGCTGTCGTGGTTTGTCTACAAGTTTAAGTAAATACATACCACTGAAACTAATTAACAAATGTTTTGAATGCTTTATGTACGGCATGCTATCTTATGTTTCAATTACGATAGATGTTTATTATTTAAGCACCGTGAAAATACCTAACCACGTTGTATATTATGCACGTATTATCTGTATTTTTACATTTTTGCAGTTAAAGGCATTTTTTGTTTTGCAGTTGTAATGACACGTTTATTTTGTTTTGCATATTGCATTGTTTGCCTTTAAATCATGTTTTCATATAGAAGTTTCAAATGATATAAAATTCGGTGAAATCGAATTTGAATTTAGTATTGATCGCATTGATAGACAAAATGATGAACTTTTCAATCGGATGTTAATTTTAATCTTTGAAACTTCTACTAAAACTAAAATGGTTCAAGGAAACATTTAACAATTTGAATGAAGGTTTTGTCCGAAAGTGTAAAACGCTTTACATTCTTTCATAACATGGATTTTCCTTGAGTCATTCGAACACTTTGCACATGATTAAAAGACAGTAACAGTAAATGGTCAAATACTGACCTGTCCACTTTCTGTGCATTGACAGACATGTCCAGTGGCTATGGTCAAATTCCTCATGTATTTTGGGGCAAAGTGGAAGTATCCTCCAGAAATGAACTTGGGCGTAAGTGAATTTAAATACTTAGAAATACTCTTACATCTTTTCCAAATGCAGTAACAGCTACAGACCAGTATTAACATCCCTCAAGCATGCCTATAATTATGTGCAACGAGCCAGCAGCTGATGTTTCGTTCATTCACCTTTATCGACTTTCTGTAGCTCAGCTTGCTTTCTTTCTTGAATATGTCTTGTCATGCATGCTTTAAAGTCATATATTTCACTCTGCTCTGTTGTATATACTGTCATTTCAAATGGAATTTTGTTGTGAGATCATCTTTACTGCGTACGCTCTCTACCAGAATGCGTTGTGTGCATGCAAAAGTTTAAAAAATAAAACCAAATAAACAATTAATGTTAAAAACGTCAATAAGTATCAATATGTTTCTGATTTTGTATCTTTATCAATAATTTCGTTATGATTTGGTTTAAGATCATAAAATTTGATTTGTGCTGAAAATTCTAAAATAGATTGGTAGTAGTATTTATCCATAGGTTTTCTATTTCCAGCCACTCCGTGTATCAAGGCTATATGTCCGAGCGAGGGTTGGACGACCGGGGGGACGACAGTCATCATCATCGGTGACAACTTCTTCGACGGATTACAAGTTGTGTTTGGAACTATGCTTGTTTGGAGTGAGGTGATTACTTTAAATTCTACATTATTCCGTCTGTTTGAAAGATGTGACCGTCTCCGTGGTCTAGTGGATAGAGCTTCTGCTCTGAGAGCGTAAGGTCGGTGGTTTGATCCCGGAGCGCGTCTATAGACGTTAAAAGATGGTAATTGTTGTTACCTTGCCTGTAGCACGGCATTAAGGGGATAAAACAAGGACTGGTTGGCTCGAAGTCAGTATATAGTATATATGTTAAACTGTGGCATGCTATCTCAGTAGACGAGCGCTGTAAAATCGGCATCAGGCCGGACGAGCACACACACACACACACACACACACACACACACACACACACACACACACACACAAACACACACAGATGACAACTCGGAGCGACGTTAAACCCATTTTCACCTCACATATGAGACATTGGTGGTTATTGCATATAATTAAAACAGTGGCCTTATTTATCATAATTGAGATACGGGAATCGAAACGCCTGTAAAAACACCAAGGGCACTTTGTTTAATTTACAAGACTTAATAGCCACCGACTCTAAAGTGTCCCCTAGTTTAGTCTTGACACGTGAGACTCATCTTACAATCAATACTAACAACTGTTAACTACAGGTAACCTCTTTTGCGGCAACCATCGCACTTCATAGTGAGGATGCCACTTTAAAATATTTTCTAATGACAAACATAAACCTTGACCTACATCGCTGTCTTATTTTGGGTAGTACGACGCCCCAGTTATGTTTTCCATGGACACGCATATCTCAGACAAGTACGTTTGCAGTTTTCCCACCATCTTGCCTGGAGAGCTTTCTTGCTTAACAAATCACTAACAATTTTTCGACCACAGCATATTTTTCATTGGCACTTGTCAAATTGAAATCATTATGCCAAGCCAATTCATAACGACAAAATGTCAGACAGAGCCAAATCAAAGAGTCTTAAAGAGATTAAAATTGTAGACATTAGTGTGGCTTACGTCATTCATTTCATACAAATTAATCCCTTGAGTAACCTCTCTAGGACCAGCACTTTTCAGACGGTACATTTATATTCCAACAAAACCCGCTTTGAATTTAATTTGTGTGTGTAATTCCTCAGTAAAGGAATAGAATGGCATATCTGTTCTCTACAAATGGTCTGTACCTTAAATGTGTATTGTATTAAGTCCAAGAATCTATTAAAGCGCTCCCTTTGGGCTGTATGTCTGGTTTTGATGCTAATTTGACTGGACCATGGCCAGAACAGCTAGTATTTTCGTTACCACTGGTTTTAGCCGGATTAAAAAACATAAAGGAAAAACATTTGGAATATTTACCAGTACACGAAATGCTGCAAGTTGCAGTTATCGAAGACAGGTGTATGTTATATTGTTCCCCAAATCGGAAAATATACTCAAATATGACATCCTTTCTTTGGCAGCGTTTTTCTTAAAATGATTAAAGATTTTGTAGTTTAAAAGAGCAATTGTGATATCCGATAGGATAATATCCTCTCTACAAGTATCGTAATGTTTTATGAAGCTGAGCTGGGCTGAATAAAAACACTAAAACACTATCTTCAACAGAACATCGCGTGAGATAAATTTTAGTTATGTGTTCGCTGTATCGAATTTCACTGGATTTTGATATGGTCATATTTTCCAATTTTCTTGGATGAGAAGACAGGGGAATGATATTAGGGTAGCACCCAGCACAACCTCGACACCTCCTCACTGTCGGGCCGCGAGGTACCACCAGAACGAGCGTCTCGCCTGACCCCTGAGCTTGGGTTCCGACATTATAGACAGCCGCCATTTATTTCGAATTCCCTGAAGACGCATACCCCATGTGTGAAAGCTCGATAATAATGATACAACGCTCCAATCAGTCGGTATAACGTCATATCTATTTCTGATAGATGGGAAGCGTTACTGTTAGATCCGCAGGTTCGGGGTTTTATTATGTGCGACAGTGTTGGTGCCCAGAGACGTCGTGACATTCAGTGTTTACGAGAGGATGTGTATGCGGCGCACAGCTACAGTTTCGTTGTCGTTATTATTCAATACGGCGATCTATGAGGACATGAAATCTCACATGGGATATATCAATTGAATCATCTTGACATGCCTGTGTGATTGACATCGTAGGGTGGCTTGGTGCCTTGTGTGTTTTACACAGCCTCGTTTAGTCCAGGTTAACCAAATTGTGGCCAAGAACCCGGATGATATAGTTCATGCTGAAATATTGTCCGGAATTTAAGGAATCCCCAAAAGAGGAGTCCTGATTAACTCTTTTCGGTTTATTTTTCAAAATGTGAGCTACGTCACAGTGACATTTCGGAAAATGTCAAAAAACATACGATGCCATTATTTCTTTAAGATTATCATCAACATCATGTCGTCACGTTTTACAATGTCAGTTCGTTTGATACTTTGGATGCAATATCGACATTCCAATTATCGTGTTCATTCTCAAACGGTTTAATTGTAAAGTCGTCAAGATCATATTTGGTCGTGTAATAAGAAGAGGATTTAGCAGAAAGATAAAGCCAAGGTATCGCTGTCATAAATTTCCGTCCCAAATTACAAAAGTATTTAATGTTAAAGGATCATTACTTGTCCGCTTCATTCCTCCATCAAACCTTAAGGTATCACCAGCTCAAAGAACTCCTTGAATGAATCAGATTCTCTATAGTCGTTTATTTTGCCCATGTCGTATTTTATACCTTCTTTATCCCAGCGAATTCGGGCCTTTGGCCTATGAAAGTATTCACGATGTGAAGTTAACCCAAAGAAATACTCCACGTATAGTCACCGGGATCCTTTGTTTAAGATTGTCCGTTATTCATTGACCCAGGGTCTGTGAAGTTGAAACAAAATAGCTCATCCTAATGTCCACGACTTTACTGTTACGAGCCAGGGGCTCTGATTTGTCGAATTTACGACTATTTGATGATGAAATTTCTCGCCTGTGATTCTTATCCGACTCAAAAGCACTGGCACTTAAACCGTTCTCTTTGAGCTCGGGTGAAACACGGAAGTAGCTTCAGTGAGCTGTGTTTGCAACAATATGGAAAGCCCACTTACCGCACCACAATATAACGCTATCTGTTTGTCAAGGAATCATTTTGACTCGGAGTCTGTTTGTATAAGGGGGTTATTGCTCCATTCTACATTGTTCCTAAAATGGATTGTCAACGTTTCGGTGCCTTAAATACCGCCAAGTTTACATCCTTTCCAACATGAATCATTAATACCGTATTGTGAGAGCCAGATCTCATTTGAATACCAGAAATAATAAATTTGCCGGCAATGGCGACCAACTGTCAGGGCCGATCTCGCCGTAATTGCTCTTCATTTTTGGAAAGGGGAGCTCGCACCTGATACCGAAATGATTTTTGTTGATTAAAATGAAAATCTCGCCGGTAGTAATGGGACAGTTAATTCTCACTTCATCAGCGGGGCAACACATTAGCCGGCCGACTTGGTCGTACACTTTCTCATCAAGTCGTCGACGGAGAGAGAGGACTAGGCTAGCTATTGCCAACAAACTCATCACTCCCGAAATCATCAAAGCTGTCACAGCGCCTAGATTCATTTTGGTCCGGGCCAGTATGCCAGCTTTTTAGCTTCGTGATAAAAGACTCCCTTCAAATCTGTCTGATTATGCTATCCATTCACGGCCAGGGTGATGGGAACGCCAGGCGAGATCGGTCGCCTCTAGGGCTCTGTAGGGTGACACTTGTAAATAACATGTTGTGTACATGACTCACAATAACGCCACCACGCCACAACGGTAATATTACCATTAGTGTTGTTATAATTACGATTATAGGGGAATTATTATCATCATCGCCATTAGTTTTATGATCATGTGTCTGTGGGCATGATGAGGTTGTTTGACTCCGTCAATACAAATAACCCCAGCGAAAACAAATTATCACAATCTGCAGTGTTGTTGTTGTTGTTATTGTGATTTGTCGATAGATACGGTCTGATTGCGGTATGCTTGTCATATTCCCTCGCTTACACGCTTAACAGTAAATTGATTTGCCATTAGGTTATTAATACATACTATTTAAAGTAATATATGAACAAAAAAGGTTAGGGATCATGAAAAATCAGTCTTCACAAAAAAGAACCCCCAAAATATTCATGATCCTTAACTTATTTTGTTCAGTATATATTGATACACGCATCATTACATCATGTATACTTCCCATGTAGCCAGTTAACACTTTCTCTGAAAGGTTATTTTTTTAAAGAAACCCATTAGGGGAATTTCAAAGAACTGAAACTTATTTTCATGACATTTTGTCAAAATATATGGAAAAGATTGATACTACATGATTAAGGAAAATCAGTATTGACGTCTCTCTCTCCGCCTGTCCCTTTGCGTGTGAGATACTGCTTTCTGTCAACACTGTGGGGAGATATGAATGTAGAAAATACCAAGTAAACAAAACCCGACAGTTTCCCATAAATCCACCGGAGATGATTGTCATTTCCAGCGCGATTTGGGAATACAGGTTTTCGTCGTAATTGTTTTCTTTGAATTATCAAGCATTTGTTAATGACGAGAGTTACAGTAACGAAAGATGCCGTATATCTTAACCGATACAATCTCTCGAGCATCCAACATGAAGAAGCGGGCCATGCGTCTTCCACTATATCGCACTAAACACATCTGAAAGTCTGTCAGGGCATCACGGGGGACAGGAAAACAAATGTTTTCCTCTCCCCCGACACTGCAGCTAGTAACAGAACTATTAATCTGCATCAGCAAGGTGCGGGATGAGGATGGCGTCTTAATTGTATCCCCCGACTCAAGTTGTTACGGCAGCAGGCAACCATCCCGTTGAGAAAGCGGAGGGCTCTAACAGTTATTAAGTCAAATCCTAGAAGAGTCCAGGGTCACTTAGAGGGAGTTAATTGGTAGTAATTGAGGAATCTAGAGAAACGAGGGCCTTGATACACTTTGGTATGGGTTTATCAGACCGCCTCGGTAACCTGTAATTACTGATCTAGTTTTGTGTACAATTTGCGTACAATCGTTCATATATAGAGGCATTATCACTTTGAAAGTAAATTAATATTCTCATATCATACAATTCCGCTCATAAATTTTGTCCAATGTTTTTTTGTCGCAGTGAAACATTCTTATTCCAATATATCGGCCTCTTTTGAAGGTGAATTGTTCCTGTGAAAGAGATTATTATTGTTATTATTTTTGTAAATTAATCATGAAAGGAACTTTTTCTTTATCAACTATACAATAAGGTAACGACAATGCTCTTTTCGTTTCGAAAACTCCGTTCAACACAACCACGTTTTTTTCTTCTAACGAATAATGGTAATGTAACGTGATAGTCCTTTCTTCTATAGTTGAGGTGTCAATACAGTTGGTATCATGTCTTCATTTGAAGCACATGATGTATAATTAACAGCTATAATGAAAATAAAAAGTAGGAATGGGACTATAACTCACAAAAAGGCTGACACTCGAATAATCAATAATTCACTCAAGTCATCCTGCAAGTTACTTGAGACTGTTAATTGTTAATGATTGACAAGATGAAAGGCGAGGTATGCATATTAAAATTTCTAAAATATATGTTCATTTTGATGAATGATCACAGGTATTCGAACCACTTTAAATTACGCAATACCAAAATACCGATTATTGTCTTAGGATCTTTAGAATCCATGGTTTATATACATCGTTATGTTTATCTTTTCACAATTCGGAAAAAAATGTTTGTTTCACTGGTTTAACATGATCCTTGATTTTCATAATTTCAACCTTTCATACAACTACAGTGGTATTGATCTCGTCTTTGTTTGGTGTGGATGTCAATATGACAGTTATTGCAGACTACAAGGCTTGGAGTAAATGTTATTGACCACATAGCAACATAACCAGGGCACAACTTCATTAAGGATTTCTTTGTAAACGATTTTCTCGACAAAGATTTCTTCATCCGTAATAATCTTACCACGAACGGTTCTCGCACTGTTAACCTCATGACATCTCTCCATAAAATATAAAAACAATGTAACTGACGTCATACTTATTCGACATATTTTTTCACGTGCTGCAGTTGCTGACGTCACACGCGATACGGGTACAGACTCCCCCGCGTCATATCCCAGGGGTGGTGGAGGTCACTCTGTCCTACAAGTCCAAACAATTCTGCAAAGGAGCACCGGGCAGATTTGTATATACAGGTAAGCAATAACTGATCTGTTTGGTTGACACATGACCTCCCACGGCAGAGTTATATATCCGGGAACATTTTTTAAACACAATAATGCATAATTTTGTTCATCACTATGACTATCTGTGCTGGCATTTGTGACATTCTGACCTCTTCAGCTCAGGAGAAACATGCAACCTACAGTAGCAATTGTGTATTGAATACATGATCTCTTTTAATATCAACGCAAACATAAAAATATTTCATTGGTATATATTTTAATACACCACAACAAATATAATGTTAACCATAGTATGGGGAATATTTTCAATACCCATTACGGATCTACTTGTAACCTAAATATTACATTTAGACATATTACAACTAATTTCTTTGGTTTGGTAGAAACATATGGTCCAGCCTGACATTAAGAAAATTTATTAAATACAAACGCATTTATTGTTTATTGAAAAAAATAATTTACAAACTAGTATACAATAGCTAAACTGGTCTCTACAGCGTGGTAGATGTATATCTTCAACCTTTGTATGACGAATATATATATATTTTCAATATTTTCACTTAATCGTTCATTGATACATAACAATGACATACGGAAACAAGGATATTGAATAAAACAAAACAAATTATTATTTTTTGTACAATTATTCATGAAACAATACACATACTGACACTTCAATTCATGTCTTGTCTTGGGTCCGTCTTCCGGATAAATACGTTCAACCTTTTTAAAATCTGTTTTTTCGAAACTGATATCAGATAGATACGTTATTAACCATTCCCCGAAACATATAGCACTTGGTTAAACCATCAGTATCGAGCAATGCATCAAGAAAAGAAATAAGCGTGCGATATCCTCTTATTTCTCAAAACTGCAAATAAATATTCACGTAGATGCCATTCCATGTAACTACAATGCTGAATTCTGCACATTATTTATGCATGAAATAGCACGTGTATGAAAAGTCGTATAATACCAAGATGAACGCTCACGTCAGTCAGTGCAATGGCTTAAAGGCAGACATATTTTCTTGCTCTCTCTTTTTATCAGGTTTTCCATTATCGATCGGTATAGCCTTCAATGATCAAAGCATAATGTCTTCACACTCGTTCTTCGAGGATATTTCTTGTGAAAGAAGGCGAGATTGTTCCGATAGCCTTGCTTGAGATCTGCAGATACATATTTAACGTATTAATTATAGAGAGACAATGGTTGAAATAATTAAAAGTGGGCATTTCGTGCAGTCACAGAATACATAACTTCTAGCATGTCTTAGAAGACAATTCAAAATAACAACGATCTTTTATGCTACTAAAATCACACCGTTTCTTGGTAATTTAAGGACATATGATCTCAATAAAAGTTATTCCAGAGGCAGTGTGGGTTTTATAAAGAGGGGAATATTTTTTTGAGTAGATTAGCTTGAACGTTGGTCTTTGAAACAAGAACGTGTTAATAATGATTATGGTTTTATGGTTAATTACACCCAGATTACAGACAGGCAACATAAGAATATGCATGTGTATCGAGAGGAAGCTATTATCAGGATATAACGGTATCAACCTTTGACCGTACAGTCTATTGGTGACTGGTTGAAAGCGCCGAAAACGTGAATGGTCGTATCAAGAATAGAGATATGTCCCTGGTATGTCTGTTTGTCGCCTCGGATGCATCTCAGTTTGTTTTGTGGACGGGCCTTGATTTCCGGTTTACCAGTTCTTACTTCCGGCGAGTGTTGCCCGTATGTCACGCCATTGTTCCCAACAAGACCCACGTGGTGAGGCACGGAAAAATATTCTTACCAGCACACCTGTCAAAATGTTTGCATTTTTGTTAAAATCGGTTGCAAAAAAATACACTTACTTTGTGGGAAATTTTACAACATCAACATTCAAGCTTGTTTTTGATTTATTCGATATCGTCACGAACTGTTTAAATAAGTCTAAAATGTAAACAAGGCGGAGATCGGTGCTCAGTCGGACTACAGTGGCGCGTTCTCCAGACGGCTCGTTAACGTTGTAGTGTTTAAATGGAATGCACAAGTATGTCTTCATATTTTCACATCAAGCTTCCCTCCTGGGAAGGCGCAATCTGATAGCATTCGGTTACTTTAATTCTCTATCAGTAATCCCCGCTCACAGCCCATCTCTCTCCCCTCACCAACATCAATTGTTTCTAACAGTAGCCCCCTTGGGATAAATTACTTAGCATCCCCCGCCAATGTACAATGGCATGTGCATAAATGAACCAGGACTATGTAGAAGAAGCCAGCGAAACGTTCATAATTAATGAATTTCACGTCAGACAATATAAGGCGACACATTGTTCTAGTCTAACAGTCATAGAAGGGCTGTATGAACAGACATAGATCTTGGGTTGTAGAATATCCAAGATCCTATTTTCTCTTAAAGTTATTAATAAATGAAAGCTTTGACATACGATCTCATAGTGAATACCCCGTAAGCGTATTTACTTTGTCAGCGAGTGAAGAATTAGATCAGGCACGTGTGTCTTAAGTATGTATTTGCTGACTTGCCATCACTCAAAGTAAGATTTGCTTGATAAAATAGTTTTTATTTGTAAGAAAACGCACAACTTCATGGATTACAACTTCTGGTCTATTGGGTATACCGACGGTGTAAGAATCTACATCGAAACGTCGCTACATGCAGAAGCTGTTATCCGTAAGGTTGTACGTTTCCTTACTTACTCATACCAACTTCTAGAATGCCAATCAAACAAAACAAACTTCTTTTCATGACTTTCACATTAACAGTCATAACCGCAGACTGTTTGTATGCAAGTATGTTTTATTGGTGGTTTTCCGAAAGTTGTGATACAAAAGGACATTATACTAACTGTATTTTTTCCGTTTTAATTTTTTTTCTGCTGTCGAAACGCCAAGCAATAAACTGTCACTGTCAAAACCGAACCCCGCTTCAATGGTATTGACAAGCCAATATAACGGCCGTGCGTCAATTAGAGGTTTTGTGTTCTCTACAATTTGTCTTAATCATATACATGTCGAAATAAAGAGAAACGAACTCCGTAAACAAATATGCTAATATTAGGTGCAGGTTTCAGTCTCTAGGAAACTCTCATTCATAACGATGACGTTGAACTAATCTCCATCACGCCGACACTGGTGTTGAAAGGCGTCCGGATCTCCCCCAAAACCCCGGTGGCTTCTGGGATCGATAACAGTGTATTAGCTTGGCCATACTCGTATATGAAGAGTTATTAACCTCTCATAGATCCCCGACCACTTTTTCATCCAAGTCGCATGTCAAAGAGACAAGAGAAGAAAACAGCCAATCAGGAAGCGTCTCTTTAAACGAGTGATCCCGAAAATTACCGATCACTTAAACGGCAATAGTCGGGAGCTGTCGTGATAGTGAGGAAATTTAGGAGAAGGGCACACTCACTGTTTCCGATTCTTCCTCCGCAAGAACCTCCCCATTTCCTCCCGGTTCTGACGGGGGCTATGGTTTAACACTGGCAGAAGGGGGATATCGATCTTAAATACAGTCACCCCTTATTACATTGATAACTAAAAGCTGTCATTTTGTTTTCGTCATCCGCGAGTATGGACTCAAATTTGGCTAGTGATCTCTGAGAGAACGCAATCAAGCGAAACGCGAGCGCCCTTAAAACTATTAGCCCAAATTGGACGTCATGAACTCTTAGCTTCTTGATAAAACGGTTTTAACAGTAAATTCATACCAGGTACAAACCAAACCGCAGACATTCACAGACTACATAATTTTATACTCCCATAAAGTATGCACCATTGTAATACCGCTATGCTGCATCGAAGCGTATAGCAGGCTCCCGTGGATTAATTGTCAATTGACGGTATTGCGTGGATCCATCGTGAATGAACCTGACATATGCCAGCCTCGTCGCGCCATATTGCGTGTTTGCATTATTCATTTAAAGTGGTATCTCCTCATGAAATATTTACCTCATGATATTGTTGCAAGCCAGAACTCCGGCTATTGTCGTTGCCAACACTTCTACCAAAGACACGCTTCACGGACCTCGTCAGTGAACACAAGCGGTTAGGAAGTCAGTATTCCGAAGGGAAATGTCAAATCAAAATGGCTTCCGTACCAGTCCTACAACCACGATGGCGGAACTATCCAGATTGAACGAGGCACGCATGACTGGACTAGCATATGTCTACCACGGGATATTTTTGGCAAACGATATTACATATGGTACATACAACATAGATAATATCACGCACAATGGGTATTAAAGTAGAAGTTACGTATTGATTGGCAACACAAACACAAAGCCATCGTAAATAACACCGATCACCTTTTCATGGATATTTTGCGAACATCGCATGCTCATCATTAATTAATCTAACAATGAATAGCACGTCACGGTGGTGTATTTTATTCAGGTTGCCTTGTTAGTTGTTTTGTGTTCAGGGAGCTGACTCTTTAGGACATTTTTTTATTGAATTTTATTCTTTTGACAGCGTTAACAGAACCAACGATAGACTACGGGTTTCAACGCCTCATGAAATTGGTACCACGTCACCCAGGAGATCCAGAGCGACTTCCCAAAGTAAGACAAGTTTCCAGGATGATATCATTCTTAGTCACTGGTCTCCGTCAAACCGCTCTCGCTAACAATGATATGCACCGCTACCTTTCGAGTGCCTTTGAAAATAACTCAGAAAGTTACACCCAATCAATAATTGTCATAGCTCTGGATGAGAACATCTGTTAGCAGGTAGCCACTAACCCGTTCCCTTTTATTGCCCTAATTATCGGCGGTGAAGTTTATAGTGTTGCATTCCCCGGTCCATCCACTGTAGTGATAATGGATTAGCTATTTTCGATGTGCAGATTTTTGTTGTGGCTTCTTTGTTTATACCATGCTTGGTGATATTTGATCGAACAGATAGATAATTATATTTTTTGGCTTTCTGTCAACTTTATAAAATACATTACCGTCCCCTCTGTGGATAATCGGTGTGAATATTAGAAGTAGTGACAGAAACAGCTAGATGACGTATCTGAAGTTTTTACTGTGTGAGATGAGCGGAAGACCATTTTTCATGTTCCCGAATCACCGCAGTTGTTCACTCTGAAATGTCAATTCTGTTTAAAATAACCTTGCAATATACCAACAAGAGAAAAGCAATAAATTGTCCACCCCTTTAATATGATCCAATGACGTGTCAATGCATTTTCTGTGATTGTCGTTTTATATATATATTTTTTCTCTGCAGGAAATAATCTTAAAACGCGCCGCGGATCTAGCCGAGGCATTGTACAGCATGCCCCGCAACCCCAACCAGCTATCACTCCCAGCCCCAAGGTCACCCGCCATGAACAACACCTCCCCAATGTCCGGATTCAACACCTACCCTGGTCAGCTAGCGGTCAGCGTGGCCGATACAGTCACCGGTCAGTGGGAAGAAGGTTGGTGACGCTCCAACCTTCTTAGTTACATCGCCTATGAGTTGCCTCCCTTTGCTCTAACCAGAGTGGCCTCCCTTGGCTCCCTGAAATACTTGACTGTCCTTCTGAGTTGATAGAGGTAGCGATGGATGTGTTGGAGCATTTGAGAATATTTCATTACTAATTTTTGCATGTGCCTTTTTACAAAACAAAATTGTAAAAAAGTAACCTCTAAATGACAACTTTTTAGATGCATGGACGTAAATAGACAGGAATATTCAAGACAAATTATGCATGTTATGTACACATAAAAATGAACAAACGTATTTGCAAAATTGATGTAGTCTACCTTTGTAGCTTCTGTGCTTCTTTGTAAAGCATGTACTATTGTCATCTACACTTGTTTCTGTAATGTATGAGGGCCCGGGTGGCCCAGTCGTCTGAAGGCACTACAATTCGCTGTGCAGAGTTGCGTCCCTTGGGCACGCCAGAAACCAATGATTTTGGGTTCAAATCCCGGTTCGCCCCGATTATGTTTCTAGGTTTGTTTTAACCATATCCATGCTCGTGGGTTTCACCAAAGTGGTAAACATCTGAGACCTGCATCACTTCGGGCTTTCCTCCCACATTAAGCCGTGATGTTACTGGAATACTGTTGAAAGCGGCGTTAAAACCAACTCACTCTGCATAATGTATATACAGAATGTGTTTAACTGATTGAAATATAAGATTTCATAAATTTGAGTAAATCCGAATGAAATTGAATGATTTTCTTGGTTCCCTTTATTATTGAAATAACTGTTTCTTCTAGGCTACAACAGAAGCCAGAGTTCCAGTGTGTCGCCCCGTGGGTACGGGTCTAACGGCTCCACGCCACACAGCACAAACAGCGGAAGCTACGCAGGCACGCCGGGAATGAACGGGTATCACGGAAGTGCTGGTGCGCTAGGCAACATGGGTAAGCTACGACATCATTTCCGCTTCCTTGTCATTGTCATTTAGTTGCTGCTGGCTTACTTCATATTCTTCAACCATTGTGGCACTCGTGTTTATTTAAAATATTTTGCACCTTATTGCATGATCTAAAAAAACCTTAATATCACATTACTGTCATCCCATACGTCATAATGCTTATTAAAGGAATGACGTTTTCTGTAAATAATGAAACGAAATGTCAGCATTTATTTCTTAATCACCTAGATTTATAAGTTAGGTTAAAATGACCCATCCCATACGACTAAATGATCTGTCATAACAATTGTCAAAAGATTCGAAGTAGCGTTAATTGTTGTCATTGATGTTGCTGCCCGACATTGATATACCATTACGTTAAGGCACAACGCGCAAATGCTCCTACATAACGGCACAATTTTTGGAGTAATTCCCATTTCTACCTGAAGAATTCAAAATCCACAACGAGGAGACAGTACAATAATACTCCCTTCGTGTCAGTGTTTACCCCTGCGCTTAGGGGAGTTGGGAACAGTTATAATCAATGATCTCACCGCTACTTCGGAATACACGTTAGACAGCCGTCAATCTCGGTTAAATTTGCCGTCATATTATGCATTGTGCTGGCTATAGGAATGAAGCCTAGGGTTTACTCTACTCTATATTCGCTACAGTGGAACAATACATCATTTGGAACCGATGGTATTTGTGGACACACAATATTCTGTAACAATAAGTGCAAAATTACCTTTAGTAGAAAATCAACACTACCGTAGTCGGCGCCGCTAATTGTTTTAGCCTAACAAATGCCGCATAATTCATAGGGAAGAAGTTTGATTTTGGTGAAGGGATTGGAGCCGGGCTCCATTGTGTTGGACCGGAGCGCCAGTTTCTCCGAGATCTCGTGGGACCAGGTTCTAATAGGTTGATCAACAACTTGTTAGCCTGGCTAAAGCGTCATGGGACCGTCGTGATGAACAAATCATGCACACACCGTTTCAGACATTCCCATCTATAGTTCACTGATAATTCACAAGCAAATAGACGTAGAATATGTGCAAGCTCCTCTCTGCGACCTCACTGAACATTTGGCGCACGTGGTTTGAACTCAATCGCATTTGGCGGGAAATCGATGCGCCGCCATCTTAAGCCGAACTTGAGTTCGTGTCGCTTGAAAGTACGTTAATCCTAACTCGTCTGCTCATAATCATATGTGACTCTCGGTAGCTAGCATAACGCGCACATGGCGCGAGGATAATGCAAAGATCAATTTACAATTGTAGCTCAATTTCCGCCCGAAACGGCCGGTTATTGGAGAATTAAACAGTGACTTTTACAACGCTGTGTTTATTTCCGAAAAGGAAACACAAGGTTGGCTGATGGCTGTAATATTTAGACTCTGCTTAACTTGTAACAAAAGCTACGCCATTATGTCCCGGCAAATCCGTTACCAAGGGTACACAGAGGATGGAAGTGTTTGTTGCAGGATGCAGAGCAGTTAATACGCGTTAAGGCTGTAAAATAATTCTTTATCCTTTATTGATGCCCGGCTGTGATAACTGTACTAGTGCCTAATGACCCGAATCATCCATGCGTGAAACAAATCAATTCATCCATCGTAGATATCATACCCAATCTAAATTAACAAACAGAATTCCGACAAGATGTGTTATTTTTTTTATTTCTCTTCAGGTTTAGATCATTTTCTCAGAGATGAAGCAGGAAGATTGGGAGCCGGTAAGAATTTTAACGTTTTTTAATCTGTATTTTTTTGCATTTCTTCGGTCCGTTTTTATTTTGCTTTCTAATTTCATTTCTATCTGTCTCTCTTGTATTTAGAAAATGCTCTTTTCGTTTTTTAAATCTATGAAGCATAAAGGTCAGTAGGTATTGACAGATATTTGTGACGACATTTGGGAAGGGGGTGGAGCTGGACATCCATTCCTCGCCGTTTTCGGTTTGTTTATTTTTCTTTTTTGTTTTATGTTCTGCAGTTGCTACGTCACACTCGCCTCCCCATCAGTACTCCGCCCCCTCGGGCCTGTCAGGGACTTGTGCCCCCGGGATTTTCTCTTTCTCACCTGCCAATATGATCACGGCGGTCAAACAGAAAAGTGCCTTTGCACCAGTGGTTCGAGCACCGAGCCCGCCCCCTCCCCTTCCCGGCATTCAGTGCGGCTGGGTTTCACATCCGCTTTTACACGTTAGTAGACATTGCTTGATATAAAGGTCCTTAGCAATAAAGCCATCACGATGTCCGACCTTGTTATGACGACATACGAATGTAGTATCAGAGTTTTAAATTAAATAGATGGTAGATGATGTTGTCTGCTTTCACTGTGCTTGCTTTGTGGTTGTTTCCTGTAAATTTCGCTTTTTTCTTTTTAACTCTTTTCTATAAATGTATTTCATTTTTTAAATGTTTCAATAAATGCTAATGAAAATGTTAATATTGGTAATGTGGTATTTATGTTCGATAATATATGGAAACAGGAGGGTAAACAGTTGTTTATTTTCATTGCAGGAATGAGCAGCATAGTAGCGTCGCCGTTTACGAGCGTCAACCCTTTCGCTCTGCCCACGTGCAACTCACAATCATACAGCAGCTCCATCGTGTCTCCTGCAAAATGATTGGTTGGAATTCACAGTGTAGGTCCGGACTGAATACCTCAACATTACAGGATTGGACGGAGTGTTAAACCGGAAGCGCAGTGTGCGTTGCTTGAATTGGATGGTTATTGCACTTTGTGGGCAAAGACGATATCAGTGCTATCATACCACGAACAATTCGAGGAAAACGGACAATACATGAAAAGACACAGCGCTTCCCGCCCGGAGAGTAAATTCTGCTACACCATAGGAAGTTTCGATATGTCGGGAATTATATCGGCTTCTATTCCTCCTCACAAATATTCCCATTAAGAAGGTGTCTTGGAATGCGCACGCGGTCATAGAAGTGATCCTTGTTTAGACTGAACGTGATCGTTCATGATGTTTGCTCTAGCCTGAGTGTTTCTCTGTTTCACAGACTTCTTGTTTACTCGTGTCTTGCCAAGGGAGATAACTTGTCTCATGGGAGATAACTTTGTCTCATGGGAGATAACCCTGCCTCGTGGGAAATATACCTGAGGGTAATCCTTTCTCATTGTAAATACTCATTACCTAGTCCCAAAGCTCAGTGGACATTTTGCTCACCAAATGACACAAAACCCAAGAGATTATTTTTGTTGGCCTTTACGTTACCATTCAGTCACGTGTCTTTGTTTCTGATTGTACTTGTTTTGCGACGTGTTCTTGCGTGATGTAGATTTATTTATTCGTAGCGAGTAAAACAACACGGGACATTTGAAGAAATATATATATATAACTATATATATAACTGTACATATTTCAATACGAAACCGTCAATGTAAAGTTCAGTATTCGAAAACAGTAATCTCACAAAAGAAACTTGTCGTTACGAAAAAACAATTTATAGACGAAATATGCATGATAAGGCAGCATTAAGGGTGATCCACCAACGCTTACCATTGCTCTCACTTTTCATATTAACATAATACTTCTTAGATAATTCTTGCGAACAGAAGAGAACTATTAGCGAATATATTATGGGCATGTACCCTAACTCGAAGTCCCATCTCAGGTGAAACCGAAGTGCTGGAGGCATGAGTTCTGTATATTGATTGTCAAGTCTTGCGTGGTTATGTTTCAACGTATCTTATTGCATTTTGATCTCATAATAGAGTATCAGCTGTTCTTATGTACTTAATTGCATACTGTGTATAATACTCAAAAAGTATTAACAGGGCTGTGGAAATACAACTTATCAACCTAGGTTTTATTTTTGTACATTTTTAAAACATACCTCCTCACTTTAAGTTTATTCTCTGCGAATGAATTTCCCCTTTTCTCGGAATATACACCGTTATCTAGTCATTTTCTAGTCAATCTAGTTGATTTTGCCGGCAATATTTCTTTGACATTGGCGTCCAATTCGCCCAATAGTTTCGCATGGTTCTAGTCGCGCCATGTCTAATCTAGTCCCGCCGTGTCTTTTCTAGTCATTGCTGTTCAAATGATCTCTGCAACATCACAGTTTGACCATAGTAAGGGTTCTGATCTTTCCTCGCACGACGCACGCGGGATGCTGTACTAATGTATTACGAAGCATACTCTATAATCTCGCGTGCGTTCTTTCATTTAACCAAATCATTCTGTCAAAGTACTATTTATTACTGAAAATATTGTTTTTATATTGAAAGTTTGATTATGATTAAAATGTTTTTCTTCCATATCTGTTTGATGTTATTCCTGGTATCTTAGAACTGTTGTTTACAAATCAAAGGCCAGATCGATTGTTATATTGTATTACGTTTTTAGGTCTATATGCCAAGATGTAGAAGCATAACACCGTTTCTTTTAATGATAATAAGTTTTAATGAATAGAAAAAGAGGTTTGGAGTAAGCATACTTTCAATCCAATCTTATTAAAATCAGATCTTAATTCTCGCTACCGCTAAACGAAGATCTGAGGACAACCCATTACGGGTAACGTCAGAACGACCTTTCAACCGACCAATCAGAGCGTCGCTTACCAGAACACGAAACTGACAGTCGGGATTGGATTGCTAATTATGCAACCTCAAAGGTATTCCAGTTACGGGCTTTATGACTGAATCCAATCTAGGCCATCTATTAGCCATTCCAACATGTTCGTTTGTTCCGTTTTCAAATTTGTAATCGAAAATTTGTCAAATATATTTCAAAGCGTAGTAGCCAGTTTGAAACTAGTGCCGTAAGGCACGAAAAAAAGCTGCCTTCTGATTGGCTAATGTCGACTTCTTGGCAGTCATTCAATTGGTTCGCGAAAGATCGGTCTGACGTGACCCGTAATGGGATGTCCACAGATATTTGTTTAGCGGTTTAACTAAGATCTGATTTTAATGAGATTGACTTTCAATCAAAAACAAAAGTATGTGTATTTCAGATTTTTACAAACTGAAGGACAATCTCACCCGTAGACAGTAAAACACTTGATCTGGCCTAATAGGGATCCGTCGCAGTAGTTCCTTGACTGGGTGTATATTATCTAGTAAGCCAGGAAGCTTACATTGGTGAACAGCAAACATTTCATGTTGCAAGACATACTGACAGTAAATGGCCCCAAGCTATACTGAACAAGAAACGTTTAGGATCATCCTCATATTTTGGAGGATATGTTTTGTAGTGAGCACACACAATTGCATGAACATATCCCCAAACATATTTATGATCCCTAACCTTTTTGTCCACAGCATATCACTGCATAGATGTGCATACAACAGTAAAATAGCATATATATTTATATATATATATATATGTGCCCCGGCGTGAACATATCATGGACACATCGTTTCAGACATTCCCATCTATAGTTCACTCATAGATCGCAAGCAAATAGACGTGGAATATGTGCAAGATCCCCTCTGAGAATACACACAACAGTCAGGTTGTATACCACCACCGTCTGTACAGTTTACAGGGTTCTGCATATACCTATAACAGCTCACGCACACACAACACACGGCAGTACAACACCAAGCATAAACTGCATACAATTTCGTCTGTATTGTTACGAGTCACAGGGGCGGTCGGGAAGCCTAGTGGTTAAAGAGGTCGCTCGTCACGCCGAAGACCCGGCTTCGATTCCCGACATGGGTAAAATGTGTGAAGCCCATTTCCATAGTCGACAATAAATGCAAACGTTACAAGGAAGACACCAATGGTACACCTGTATAGTTCCGTGTTTCCCACAGGACGGACAGTGGATCAAGCATGCTGTGATGTCAAAAAATGGTTTAAATGACACCTTTGAGTACAATTATATAAATAACACCTTTGAGTGCAATGTTATAAATGACAATTTTGAGTACAATGGTATATATGACATCTTTGAGTACAATGGTATAAATGACACATTCTTTGAGCACAGTGGTGTAACTGACACCTTTGTGTACAATGGTATAAATGACACGTTCTTTGAGTACAATGGTTGAAATAACACTTTTGAGTGCAATGTTATAAATGACAATTTTGAGTTCAATGGTATAAATAACACCTTTGAGTACAATGGTATAAACAGCCCCTTTGAGTACAACGGTATAAATGACACCTTCTTTGAGATCAATGGTATATATCAAAACTTCTTTTAGTTCAGTGGTATAAATGACACCATTGAGTACAATGGTATAAATAACTCCTTTGTGTACAACGGTATAAATGACACCTTCTTTGAGTTCAATGGTATAAATAACACCTTTGAGTGCAATGGTAAAAATGACACATTCTTTTGGTACAATGATACCTTTGAGTAAAATGGTATAAATGACACATTCTTTGAGTATTATGGTATAAATGACACATTTGAGTACAATGGTATAAATGATACCCTTAAGTACAATGGTATAAATGACACCTTCTTTGAGTACAATGATATAACGGACACCTTTGTGTACAACGATATAAATGAGACCTTCTTTGAGTACAATGGTATAAATAACATCTTTGAGTACACTGGTATAAATAGCCCCTTTGAGTACAATGGTATAATTGACACCTTCTTTGAGATCAATGGTATAAATCAAAACTTCTTTTAGTTCAATGGTATAAATGACACCATTGGGTACAATATGGTATAAATGACACATTCTTTGAGCACAATGGTATAACTGACACCTCTGTGTACAATGGTATAAATGACACATTCTTTGTGTACAATGGTATAAATAACTCCTTTGTGTACAACGGTATAAATGACACCTTCTTTGAGTTCAATGGTATAAATAACACCTTTGAGTGCAATGGTAAAAATGACACATTCTTTTAGTACAATGATACCTTTGAGTACAATGGTATAAATGACACATTCTTTGAGTACAATGGTATAAATGATACCTTTAAGTACAATGGTATAAATGACACCTTCTTTGAGTACAATGATAAAACGGACACCTTTGTGTACAACGATATAAATTAGACCTTCTTTGAGTACAATGGTCTAAATAACACCTGTGAGTACAATGGTAAAAACGACACATTCTTTGAGTACAATGATATAATTGACACCTTTGAGTACAATGGTATTAATGAAACCTTCTTTGTGTACAATGGACTAAATGACACCTTTGGGGATAATGGTAGAAATAAAACCTTTGAGTACAACGGTATAAATGACACCCTTAAGTACAACGGTATAAATGACACCTTCTTCAAGTGTAGTGGTATAAAGGACACATTCCTTGAGTCCATTGGTATCAATGACACCTTCTTATAGTACGGCAACGTATCTGTGAAGGAAGGATACAAGCACATTCAAATTTACACAGGGTTAGGTTATACAGTGAATCAGCGTAAATGATAAAGTTGTCATCCGTATTGGTGTTTGTAATTACCATTTGGTGTGGTACAGATAGAGCAGGACATGCTCACCTTTCCGTGAACACCAGGGCCCACTTGCACAAAGCGATCTTAGCGCTAAGATGATTGTAACTCCCATACTTTATACATAGGCTTACAATAGTCTTATCGCTAAGATCGCTTTGTGCAAGAGGGTCCAGATGTCCTCACTGATTTTCAGTGATCCATTCATATAACTTTCACCGCTATTTATAATTTTACACCCAAAGGAATCTGTTTCGATGGATAATCGAGATTGGATATTCTCTGGCTTTGACGTTTTGTGTGTAACTACAAAGACGACATGAATGCCAAATGATTTATCAGTACCTGGTTCTAGTGTCAATATACCTTGTTGAAAAGCGACAAGGTAAACACGACATTATGCTCTAGTCTAGTCCAGTGTTATGCAGACAAAACACGTTGATGATGTGTTATACTTCTGTGCAGCTAATGCACGTGCAGAATGACAGATTACAGGCACACAAACTACAACGGGTTATTCTAAATGAAGGCGACAAAAACATTTCCATAATCATAATATAAAACGAGAATAATCAGTCTCGATTTGCCCACGAAATAGATTCCATAGATAAAATATCGGTGAACTTTGTATGAATGGTTCAATGAAAGCAGTGATGACACCAGGTGTTCGTGTGAAGGGTAAGCATGTCCTAAGGAATCTTAAACAAAAGCAGAGTCTTCCCAACGATTCCGACCCGATCGTAAGCAAGCGTCTATGAATCAAAGTATCAAACAGAGATGACACCAAGTGTTCGCGAAAAGATTTAATGGCGTACCAAATGTGACAGTTTATAATGATTTTATATGCATTTAAAACATAAATTGAACATCTTGCCGTGAAGGCGAGTAAAAACTGGTTATGTATCTAATCCACGTGTCGTACATCTTCCCGAGGCAAGGGAGTCAACTGACTATAAAAATCCAGTTTCCACCCTTGCCGAACTAAGCTGGAATTATTAAGTTATATTTTGGCTGGACAAACGAGTCTGTGCATTGTAAAATCAAAATCGACATACGGTTCGTAAACTTTCGTGGAGATTTTGGTCAATTGCTGGATTTGCAAAACATGTGTATCATCAACTTAGCGTCTACAGATATTTTCAAATCTTTTCATGTTTTTTATCAAGGAGCTGACCCGATTTTATGCAGTTCGCGATGTAAGACCCGTCATTATCTTGTGATATTCCTGTTTATATCATTGTCACAATAAACAAAATAAAACATACAACGTTTGTGTGCAGCTGGAATAAGTATAATTTAAGACTGCATTAATTCATATCATTGTTTTATCAGCTGCTGGTGCCGGTACTATACTTGTCAAGAACACAAAGTAATAATACTGTTATATAACTGAAATAGTTGTTGTGTGAAGTATCTAAGCTGAGAAATAGCGAAGATAGAACATTTTGAAAGTCAGTTAAGAAACAAGATGGCTATCTTACGATCTGGGATGTTTTATCATCTTATGGGTTTACCATCCTGTCTAAGTGGATGAGTAGGATCACGTGACTCATGTAGCACATTAATGTGGGCGGTTGTCAGCGTATCAGTCCATCTGATCTAGATGATAAATGAAGGTTAGAATTACTGGCAGAACAACAGATGATGTCCGTTAAAGGCTTCCGTCTTTTCCACAACAGTAAACCTGAATACCAGGGGCATAAAACTCAGGCAAATTGGCAGCTCGAACAAGATTAAATCAAGTCGTTAAAGATCCATAGTGTTAGTCTGCTAGCGTGAATTCTTTGACGTAAACTGTTCAACCTATCATAATACTATTCTCCACATTCTGCAATCTGCGTCATGTGTGCAAACTGATCTCCATATAACACAA